GACTCTCACCCGCAAAGACACTTTTTCCCGAAAGCCACTGTAGCGGCATCAGACGCTGTAGAGACTGTCTGCCAGCAGCATGTGAGTACAGCTGAGCGAGAGTTGCGAGAGACAGACCTGAAGTTGTTTTCTAGCAAACAACCTTATTGACAACATTTTAGTGGAGGGAGAGTTTTGTTCAATCTTACTTTAATATAGGACTGAAAAAGATGATAACAAGTGATGCTGGATTAACACGTTGCCTTTGGTTGAATGACTAATAGTGTGAGAAAGGATCAGTGATGTGGAAACATTGGAGTATCAACAGTTTCTCTATTGCTGGATTTGGTTTTAAAGACTAAAAAGGAGAATCAAAGCTGCTTGGACTTCTCATCCCTAGCACACTTTGCTTTGCTCTTACGATGATCCTAGCTGCAGCACCGGCTTTGTCCTTTTTACGAGGACTCAGTGATATCTTAGACTACAACATGGTCTTTGTTCGATGGATCACACAGAGGAGCAACTAATCTCCGTAGCTGTGTTGCTGCCTCTCATTGATAAACTTTTGCTGTATTCTGTGTTCCACTATCACATGTGATTTTGCTGCATTTCACCTAAACTCAGTCACAGTCTTAATCTGTGTCCTCTCCTTCTCTTCCTTCGGTCCTGTGTCTCCCTCCCTCCCTCCCTTCCTCTCTCTCTCCCTTCCTCTTAATCCCATAATGCTGCATTGAGGCGATGTGTGTTGACAGAGACACTTAGATGCCGATGATGTTGAAAATGCATCGTGTGTGATGTGTTAGATCACTGTGTGGTATGTCCAGAGAGACAAACAGAAGTGGCAATCCATCCATTTGTAATGGATTAGAGCTGAAATTGAAAATGCCAGACTGAGATCAGCAATTGGATATATTTACAGATAAAGTAATACATGAAATGCTTAGTAAAAGAGAAATATTAAAGGGTGCATTCTAGTTATGTTCAGGCTTACTGCATAGAACCGTTAGTAAGTTAAAAACACATACATGTGAATCTCTTGTTTTTCCAGAACATCCATGAATTGAAGAAGCATAACAATGAGTGTTTCTGTGGTTTTAGATGTGTGTAGCTTGGAGCCTTTTTAGTACAGCTGTTTGGGTCTTTGAGCATCAATGTGTCAGATTAATGAGCGCTTTGGGGGGAATCAGAGCTGAGATCTGGGTGTTGGAGGCAGCTTTTTGACAGTGATGAAAAGATGAGCTTGCAACCAAAGAGGTAAACAGGGAAATTAGAACAGAAATAGGGAAGAAAAGACAGGAGATACTGCAGGTTCAAGGTGTGTGTGTGTGTGTGTGTGTGTGTGTGTGTGTGTGTGTGTGTGTGTGTGTGTGTGTGTGTGTGTGTGTGTGTGTGTGTGTGTGTGTGTGTGTGTGTGTGTGTGTGTGTGTGTGTGTGTGTGTGTGTGTGTGTGTGTGTGTGTGTGTCAGTGCGTCAGTGCATGACCGTGTGTACCTCGAGTATGATTGAATTACTCAGGGTTAATTAGATTCTGTCGTCCACAGTAATGGCACACACACACACACACACACACACACACACACACACACACACACACACACACACACACACACACAGAGACATCCTTCAGAAGGGCTTTTGCAGGCTTATTGCCAGTGGCGTTGTGATCTGTGTGTTAGTTCAGTGTTTTTTCTTGGAAGCTGTGTGGTGTTAAGGAGACTACAGGACAGTCAGTAACAATTTATTACACACTTATCTGCTGTTTCTTCAACCACTCTGATTTACTTCCTGGTTAGGACTATATTTTTTTTGTTTTTCTGCTTGAAGATAAACATCCTAAAAATCCACTGTGCACATTAAAGAACACGTGATTACCTTTCTGTTTTCTCACTGTGTGCATTTCCATAAATAATGTACATTTATAATTAAAGAGGCACTGTGACATTGTTACGACCACTAGAAACTAAATGGGTCAGAAACGAAAGGGTTTTTGAACATGTAGCAGAAGAATACTAAAGCTCATGGCTGCTTTGCTGAGTGTGTTTGCAAATCATTGCACTTTGCACTGATTGGCCAACTGGTCGCTCTCGCAATTTACTGCTTGTCATTCATGTGAGATGGAAATACAGTTGTTCATCGCAATCAAAACTGAAAGGGTTGTTTGGAGATTTATTGTTGTATTTGTATAAAACGTCAATTTGAGTTTGCAATGGTTTGAAGAAAAAACATATTCACATGTTGAGGGTGAAGTGTTACAGTTGCAATTTGTTTAGATTTCAGCTTTGTGTGTTTCCACTAGGTTAGTTACCTCTGCAAATGAGCGAATATTAGCTTACTAACCAGAACTCCTCCACCCAGTTTGTAGTCTAGTACAGTCTGTTTATCCCGACAGAATGCAAGACGACTTTAGTTTAGTTTTCCCCACAAATAAAGTCACTTTTAAACACTGTCTATGTTAAAGGTGGGGTAGGTAAGTTTGAGAAACCGGCTCGAGATACACTTTTTGTTATATTCCATGGAATGCTCTTAACATCCCGATAGCAATGAATATCTTAAGTGCTTTGACAAAAAATCCATAAAAAAATGTCATCTGTGGAAGCCGTAATACTGTAAAAAGCACGACCAATCATTTTAGCTGGCCCGGCTAAAATAACTGGATGGCCTACCTGCCTGTCAGCCTTCCATCTGTGCACAAACTTATCTCGTGCCCTCATTGGTCATGTGCGCGTTCGTGTGTGTTGGAGGAGGGGCTCTGTAAGGAAGTGGCAGATTTTTTCCGGCTGTGTATTTTCAAATTCTAGCACACTCGAGCTGGTTTCTCCAAAATTACCTACCCAACCTTTAAACAATGTTTATGTTTTACACATATGTTACACTTATGAAACGAAACATTTGACCAGTTGAGGAAACAACGTAATGAAGGAGGGAATGGTTTTGTCTCTGCCAATGTCTGGTGTTGACTGCTGTTTCTGCATGTCATGACCTACAGTAAGTGTTACATGTACCTGGCTTTTGTTCTTTGGGTGCTTTTCATTATGTTAACGTTGTCACGCCCTTTATTTGTGTTTTAGACAAGTCCAATGAAGTACTCTTACAATGACAGGGAAGTCTTAAAGGATGTCAGTTACTTATGACCTGCTGCACAGCTGTGTGTCAAATGTGGGGGTGTGTTATTTATACAACACTGTTCTTCATAAAAGATCGGTTCAAGAGATTCTGCAAAGATCACACCTGTGTTTCCCCGCTCAGACTTCATGTCTCCTTGATGTGGAAGCATAATTTAGCAAAATATAAAATCACCGTTTGCTTCAGGATGCTTTCAATCATCTAACTCCTCCTATCCAATCAGAGACACCTGATAAATCTGTGAAACGCCCTCAGCTTGCTCTGAACTACTCATCTCCATAGACACCGCAGATGGATTTAAAGGTCACCTATTATGCAAAATCCACGTTTTCATGTATGTTATACATAAACATGTGTCCCCTCTGTGTAAAGACATTCTGAAAGTTTCAGGAACAAAGACCCCCTCTCTTTTTGTCCTGATCCATTTATATAAAACCCTATCTGAAAATGAGCTGATCATATTTTGGGCACTTTATGATGTCATAACGTTTTTTTGGCTTTGTAACCATTAGCCAATAACCAACCAAGGTAACCCCCCCCCCCCCCCCCCACCTTATCACCTGAATCTCCTCCTAGAGCACCATTGTGTTCTTTTTAACCAAATATCTCTCAGAGGGGCGTGGGGAGGGGCTCCTTATTTTCATCTAAAGTAACAGACAGAGAATCAGCACTTTTGAAACAGGGCTGAAACAGAGGGGTTTATGGGATGCTACAATGCATGATCGGTTAGGTATTTGGAGGCAAACTCTTCAGAGACATGTTTTGTATATGACTGAGAATATATTGATGAAAAACACTATAATAGGGGACCTTTAACTTCATAAATACATCTCAAAATCTGCATTAATGAATTACAAAACATAATCCTTCAAGAGATGTAAACACAGATTTCCATTTCAAGTGTTGTATCTGTCTTAAACCGGCTGTGTGTGTTTGTGTGTGTGTGTGTGTGTGTTACGTTCCCTACTGGGCTAGGGGAACCAGAGGGAAGTAACAACATATAAAATAACCGGGCGAGAGGAAACTGTCTACTGAAGCCACAAAGTGATGTTTTAATGGACAAAGAAAAAGGGCTCACCAGCCAACTTGCAAAGCAAACTAAAATAACAATACACCAACAGGTAAACTGGAGCACATCTCCTAACAATTCACACGAACGCAGGCCTCACACAGAGACAGACATGCTGCACACATACAGCCAGAGGAGAAGGAGAGAGGCCACTGCAGCCTTCATCAGGTCCTTTAAGGAGGCCCTGATTGGGGATTGGGAGCCAATCAGGGAGAGAGAGAGAGACACACACACAAAAGCACACACAGACAAGCACCAACTGCGGCACGTAACAGTGTGTGTGTGTGTGTGTGGATGGCTGGCTGTGTGGATGGCTGTGTGAATGTGTGTCTTGCCTGATGATATTGACATGGATCTGGTCTGATGTAACAGGAGTAAAATATCTAGATCAAACAGACTATTAGATTATGGCTGCAGAGAATCTGTTGACAGCTCTCTGTGTGTGTGTGTGTGTGTGTGATGAAAATTGGCCAAGGAGAACAAACTATTTGCAATTCTATTCACATCTTAAAATGCGTCTTGTACTTGTTGTACCACAGCCATTTGAAGGAAATGTGTTTAACAAAGTGTGTAAACCTCCACCGACCCCAGTGTTTGTTCATGCCTCGGATTTTCTCTTTGATCTACAAACTGTCATTTGCTTTCTGATCTACTGAGCAAAGGTGACTGAGGCGTAAAACAAAAAATCAGTATCGCTCAGTAGCTTCTAATGTAGATTAACAGGTAGCTTGTTAATCAGATTCTCTATAAACTATTCAATCGTTTGTGAAATGATTACTTTAAAAGCTGAATTCTGCTAACAGTGTTTTTTTTTTATCTGTGTGTGTAGAGTACAGTCGTTTTGAGGCGAAGATCCATGACCTAAGGGAACAGATGATGACCAGCAGTGTCAGCTCCAGCTCCACGTCGCTCCGCTCCACACAGAAACGCACCCTATACGTCAGGTACCACACACACACACACACACACACACACACACACACACACACACACACACACACACACACACACACACACACACACACACACACACACACACACACACACACACACACACACACACACACACACACACACACACACACACACACACACACAGTGTTCAGAGGTGACTGATTGTCTAGTGTCCTTCAGTGTGACACCACCATTATAAGGGCTTATCTCAGCTGTCTGCTCCTCGTTTTGTGTGTGCCAGGTGCTGAAAGAGAGGTTATCACATTGGAAGAAAAATCACAATTAGATTATCCAGCAAGCACTACATATCCTGTCTAACCCACAAACACAAACACATCCATCACCTGTCAACTGTTTCGATTTTCTGTGTGTGTATTCCTCTGTCCTCCTGTCCTTGCCTGTCCTGGTTGTTTAGGCTTCTCTGAATCACCCCGTCCACCCTCACTTTCCGCTGCAAAGCCCAGAAGCAGTGTCACTCCAGCTACACTTTAAGGGTCCTTTCTTCACAAGAATCACAGCATTCGAAATATTGATTAAACGCTAGGTCGCTGGCTCCAGATGAGTCGCATTGGAGCTCTTTAGAGATCAATACAATGGAAAACAAAGACAAAGAGAGCAGCTCTAATGATTACTGATGACTAAAGCAATCTAATGAAGTATTCTGTATTTTCGCAGTTTACAACCCTAAGTCTCACATAACTTGAGCATTTGTTATGATAAAATTACCTTTGTATGATCAAAAACGAGTTGGCTCACATAGCCAAACATCAAGCAAGTGCTACAAAACTTGACATTGCAAACCAGCTAATATTACTGACCTGGCTCCATTACCCGCCTGCCTGGCTCTGCCATGATACTGATGCCATTCCCCTCCAGATTCCCGACCCACAGCTAGCCTGAAAACCTCATCCTCCCAGTGATCAATAGGTCCTGGGCTAGCTGTGTAAACACGAACACTCCTCTGGTGCTCTTATATCTAACAGCACTGCCAACTAGGCTAACAGCTACATTAGCTATACAGTAGCTGATGTCAACTTGCGTTAGCAGCCTTTAGCATTACTTTTAGCAAAACTGAAAAATGTACAATAAACAGAGACCGAGAGGTTGCCTTGCTTTGTTGGGAGGGGCAACGGGTTGAATTCTCATTGAACTTTAAATAAAAACATTTAGAAACACAGAGACACAAATAATATCTGTGAGACTCACATTAAGATACCACTATGATTTTGACTATGGTTGCTTATCCTGTAACAGGAGTGTTTAAAAGAAAAGGGCCAGAGAAATCTTGGATTTGTTGCCATGTTGGCTTCACTGTCGTTTTTTTTAATCTATTATCAGTTTAAGTATTCCTGATTTGCAGGGTCAGGAATTTAAACTTAAGGGTATTTTTTTATCTTTTTCAAAGGTCATTTTTGTCATTTTCTGTCTTGTGCACAAAAAAGACGAAATAGTTCAAGACATTAAATTACATGTAAGTTATGCAATAAAATATAATGAACAATGAGCACCCAAACATTACATTGTTCATTATTGTTCATGGTTGTCTTCTTATCTGGCCAAAGAAAACACAAAGCAAAGAGGAAACTGCAGCTGACATACCATGCATAAAAGGAACATCTGACCTGAACTATGTGCAAGTGGCCTGGAAGGAAAAGGCAGCAGCAGCTTAAACAGAGTCACCTTGAACTGCTCACACACTCTTACGGCCCGTCCACACAGCGGCGTGCGTTGAAGCTTCAACACTTCTGCCCATTCACTTTGAATGGGGTGACGTCACGCTTCGCCGAACTGCATTGTGGGAGCGAAGCGTAGCTTCAAAAGCGTTGCTCGCTGCAAAAGTTGAGCAATGTTCAACTTTTGAAGCTTCGGCGGAAGCGTCAGCCAATCGAATCATATGCCAGTACAAGCTCTAGCCAATCAAACCGTGTGCTTGTGTGTCCGGGGCGGGAGATTCATGTGATTGGTTGTTGGTCAGCCCCCCCCCCCCCCCCCCCCCCGCCGGCAAGCTTCAGCGCACGCCGCTGTGTGGACGGGCCGTTACAAACTGACTCACACAGAGCAGGGCTGAGGTCAGACTCTGTAGGCAGCGAGAGGCCAAAGGTCATATCCAGTAGTCAAACAAGTGTCAGCGGTGTACAAGTCTGAAAGAGAAACAAGCTAATTGATTGCTTAGACTCCCTGTTTTATTGAATATATGACAATGTTTTTTGGTAACCTCGGATGACCTACATGGCAACAAAGGTCCTGTTTGTGAAATGTGGATTTAATAGACAAAACAAGAAAACATGACATTACACTGCTTGCCGTCACCCTTGTTAAATGTTAAAGTAGTCACCCATAGGCATGACTGTCATTAGCATAAATTAAGTGTGCATCCACTGTTATTTTGTGTTTTGTTTAAAAGTGAGGATGGCCTGTCATTTGATTAAATCACAAGAGGCCTGCATCTCCTGATAATCACTTGAGATGCATGTGAGTGAAATGATGCAATAATCATTAAGTATAATTAGCTGTCATTTAGAGATGCACTCTACTGCAAACTTCAACTTAGTGCAAAAGCATATTTCTCTGAATATCTAGACAAGTCAAAAAGCAGAAAGAGCTCAATTAATTTCATAAAACTGCTCTTATACAGTAGTTCATATTTGTTATTCCATCCTTACCAAACAGATGATAACAATAATATAATTCTGCAACCGAACTAGCAATTATTTGTTATCCACTTTGAGGCATAGCTGTGCTTAAAGCTAAATGCTAACATCAGCATGAAAACATGCTTATAGCGACAATGCTATTGTTACACACATATTTTGTTAGCTATGCTTACTGTCTTTTTAAGCTTGTCAGCCATAAACACAAAATACCCCAGACACAAACAGATATTTAGTTATGACCTAAGGCATTGGACACAATATATTTCTGACTTAATGATATTACTGAAAGAAAATGCCAGGTGATTACAAATCATCCGAGGGACTAATATTTCCTGTACGAAATGTCATGCCAATCTCTTTAATAGATGAGATATTTCAGTTAAAACCAAAGTGGTGGAACACTTTCTTTGGCATCTCTTGAGCCACGCTCCTAGCATCTTTTTGAACATGGTGTCCTTGACTGTATAATTGTAGATTTCATTAGGAAACATGCGTATCGGAAAATGATCATGACACTATGAGTTAATCAGTTTCATAATGAATTTTAATACCAAGCTTCCTACAAGTCTTGCAAAAAAATCAGGCCAGGATCATTTCAAGGTTATATAGAATAATTAAGTCACTCCCCCAACATCCCACAGATAAATCACTGTCATAAGGGAAGTCGCTGTATCTGGTTACTGCACATAAATGACCAATCAGCTTTAAATATTGAAAAAGGGAACACTCACATTTGTCGAGGTGAGGCTGTTGGTGCGTGAAAGATTGACGGTGTCGAGTGCTGTGGGCTGCTGTGTGTGTTCATGCATGTATATACAGTGTGTGTGTAGCGGGGTGTTAGGACTGTTTGCATGTGTATAACGGGTAAGATGAACCTTTCCTCAGAGGAAACGCCACCGAAGCAAGGTGACATGTATGTGTGTGTCCTTCCCTCTTCTCTTTCACCCATAATGTCCTATTCTAAACACAGTAAGTCTCCATAATGTGTCATTGTAATTTTATATACACTGCACCAGAGTCTGAGCCCAATTCACAGTGAATATTTTAGTCTTAATGACCAATAATCTTTTTTGGCTTTATTGTTTGTGATTAAGCAGCTGACATCTGGGGATTTATTTTCTCTCAGAACAGGGAAAGATAGAGAAAGGTTCAAAGTGATAACAGACCTGATATGCCATTACAGGCTACCAGGATACGATCGATGTAGTTATATATAATATAACATTGATGCATTGGCTGGGGTTTGAAGGGTCTATGAAGGCTTAGAATCGTGTCTCACTGTTCGCTGAAAATGATACCAATCTCTGCAGTACTCCGTGCTAGATATCAATTTCAATGCATTTTAAGTAGCTGCCATGCCCAGGAACATTTGCTTCTCCAAACTGAATATTATGGTTTTAAATTGCTCCGGGGATTTTTTGAGTGAGTTTGTTGAATGAGATCTGACCCTCAGTCTGAGAATATAATATATTGTATCCAATTTACAGTTTCTAAATGTTAAACAAGCGGTATCAACTAGAATGTCACCCTGAGAAGGCAGACCTCCACCAATGGTGCATTACAAAAAGGTCCCAGCCCCAGTTGATGAATCACTGCCATACAGTAAGTAGCATTCTAGGGATTTACCTAGCATACTCGCCTCTGAAATAAAGTGCATGTACATGCAAGAATCTCACAAGTACATTCGGTGAAAACCTAGAGAGAACCGCATTGCAGTTCGGACTATAGGTTTGCTGGCTGTGCGAAAAACAACACAAATATACTAAAGTGTTTCAAATGTCCACAGCACTCGCTGGGAAAAGGTGTAAAAGATGGCCAGGTGTTTCTGTTACACTCTGCGGTGATTACCGTGTGTTCCTTCACTCGAGTAATTACATTTTAGAGGGTCCCACATAGGAATTAAAACGCCTTGAGTACCAAGAGCTGGTAATTGATTTAGAGTTGCCTTTGCATGTGGCCTTAAATAATAAACAATCCATTAAAGTAGTCTAAAAAAAAGTCCTTTTGGGATTTTGGTCCTCTGAAAATACTGCTGCTCTTATTTCTTTCTGTATATTTCTCTCTTGGTGACAAAATGATAGAAATGAAGGATATTTATACTCTCTCTTCTGACAGCTGCCCTTTACTTTATGTCTCTGTGGACCCACTAATGTAAATTCAGCCCTGCCCCTACTTAACACATTTCTTACTACTTTACACATCCAGCAATTACTGTGTGTTCCCTCACTCGGGTAATTAGATAGGGTCCCACATGATTAAAACAACTGTAAGGTGGAGAGCAGGTAATTGATTTAGAGTTACATTTACATAGCTGTGGCCATTAATATAGCTACACATTATCCATTAGTGTGACCTGGTTGCTGCAAAAATCATTAGGGGATGTGTGAAACTCTCCCAATGAGAGTTTTCTTGTCTATTCTACTCCATATCTTATTCTATAAGGTTATGTATACACTCAAATCTGACAGCTGCCCTTTACTTACTATTGTATGTATCTGTGGACCCACTAAGGTAAATGTAAGCCTGCACTTGATATGCCCTGAAGGATATATACTGTAACCTTTCACATGCTGTCTCCTTCTCTCATGTATTTCACTATTTGGGAACATTACAATTTATCATAATCAAGTAGTTCATGTTCATTTCTTACATTATTGTTGATCTGCTCCCCATCCCTCTGCAGACCCCAATGTCTCACTAATCAGTGCAACCGCTGATACAGTTCCACTGCAACTGCTTTATCAATTCTGCTCATAGAAGACAGACATATTGTTCACGATACGTCTTATTTACAAATAAAAAAGCCTGCACAATTGTAGATTACAAAGATTTTGTAACACTGGTTCATTTACCCAGCGTTTCCTGGAATGGTGAATGTGTTCTGGGACCAATGATAGGTACACAAAAAAAAAAATGGTACACATTTTAGTCAGCTGGAAAAAATGTGAACGTGTCCACAAAAGCCTATAATTCAACATTTGTCAAAAAAAAAAAAGGTTTCCAATAACAAATTAACAATGAATAAATATTTACTTAGGTTTTGTTAGAGCATTTCCTTAAAGGAAGTTCCTGCAAAAATGATAAACTCAAAACTCAGTACAGTTTACATTCCTACAAATATTTCTTTTTTTAGAGCTGTCCTTTCAAAATGAAACAATGGCATCAACCGTTTCTGTAAATGCCCTAAAGCAACAACAACAAAGTTACAGTATATTCAAGTGACAACCCAACAGTGACTTACCTTGAAGACACAGTCAAATAATGTCATCATGGCAACATCTCTGAATCACATCCAAAACGCTTTCATGTGACTTTTTGGAAGGCATGTCAAGACAAACATTTGGATTGTTGCTGTTCTTTCCACTTTTATTATTACCTGACCCCATTTTCCCAAGACAACGTTCAAGACATTAACAGGAAAAAACATAGCTGTAAAATATAATCTGACCAAACATGGTACCTGATTATACGCTTCCACCAGTTTGAAGTTTCATCAGATTTAATTATCACAAAATCACATTTTAACAGGCAGCTAAATATATTATGTCTCGTGAGGAGGTCTAACTTTCCTCATTTTTAATCTGGCATCAATAAAACATGAGGTAGTTTTTATACTGGTGTTAGACTCTCTGTGTGTCTACCTCTGTGTCTGATTCTCTCTCGGTTTCTTCTACCCTGTCTATATTCTGTTTTATTGATGAAGGCAGTAGGGACTTAGGGGGATGCCAGTTATTTCAGCTCTAGTTCCTTTGCACCACACACACACACACACACACACACACACACACACACACACACACACACACACACACACACACACACACACACACACACACACACACACACACACACACTGCTGGCCTACTTTCCTGGGTCTTTTTCCCTCTGGATGGGGTTTTGGAACTGTGGTCACTGTTCAGACACGCGCACAAAACATACACAATCGACACAAACAGACTGCACACAGACAGATGTGTACAATTACATTCACACACACACACACACACACACACACACACACACACACACACACACACACACACACACACACACACACACACACACACACACACACACACACACACACACACACACACACACACACACACACACACACACACATACAGCCATGTGCACACAGACAAGGTCATAAATAATGGTGTTGGAAAGCAGTCCTCAGCTGTTTTGGCTCTCATTCACTACAACAACTCTGGCTGTTTTTCTGTATTGTTTCGTCAGTTAATGTATTTTTAGCTTTGATTATAGATGTCAAGTTGTTGTCAAAAGTAATGTGAGGCATTCAACCACGTTGTCTCTTTTTTTCCAATTTGGAATAAAGATAGAATGGGGAATTTGACATTTATTCCTGTAAAATATTTTGTGGTTTCATTACGACAATGCAAAATAAGAAGTATTTCCACATTATTTCACTAAATGACTGTCTAATGTTTCTATGTGTGTCCACTCCTGTGTAAAATCTAAAATGGTTTGCTTCTCTGTCTGTCTGCAGAGCATTGTTCGACTACGACGGCAGTGTGTCCGATCTGAGCGCGCCCGGTCAGGTCCTGCCCTTTCATTTCGGGGATGTCCTCCACGTGACCAGCGCTGGCGAAGAGGAGTGGTGGCCCGCCCGCCACCTCAGCCCCCCGCCTCCAAACTGCCCTGAAGTCGGCGTCATCCCCAGCCGCAGGAGGTCAGAGTTCAAAGGGTTTGGGTTGGGAGTGGCTCTCTGATATTATTGACTGAAGTCTGCAAGCTTTAGGCAGTCAACTCTTGTTCCTGCACTCACTGTTTTATTCAGTCATGATATACTGAAGCCGTCAGTTCTTTGATTATTCTGCTAGTATTTTAAGTCTGTAAGTACTTTTAAGTCCCAGCTCCATCCTAGAATCAACCTGTATTTCCCACTGGGGAACTTAGTATTGTTGTCCCCACTTCCTGCTGTCCTGAGCCTCAGGAGGGAGCATCAAGGTCAGAGCCTTGGCACCAAACATCGACGCTGTACATACTCCTCTCCACCACAGAATCAATTCCACAAGAGTCGCTCCTTACCTCATGCTCCACCTCGGTCCACCTTGTAATCCTTTCTTATTCCCCTCCTCTCTTCCTTCTCTCATTCTTCTCACCTCGTCTCTCACCTTTCCTTTTCCTGGTCCTCATTCTCTTTCTTTTATTCTCCTACTATCCGTTCTTCACTTCACATCTTTTACCTGTGCCTTCTCCTCTCGTTGTCTTCTCCCATTTTGCCCCCTCTCCTCTTTGTACTCTTCCTATCCCCCCCCCTTCTCAGCTCCTTATCTCCTTTTCTCTTCCCCATCCTCCTACTCATGACCATTTCCTTCTCCTCGTCCTTCTGTTGTATATGCAACTCTTTATTCCTCCTATTCTCCTTCTACTCTATTCCTCTCTTCCTTTTATCATACAACTTCTCCTTCTCTCATCTCCTCCACTTTCTTCTTTTCCTGTGTCTACACCTCCTTTGTCTCCTCTCTACCTTCTCCTTATCTCCTCTACTCTCGCCCCCTCTTCCTTATCCTCCTCTGCTTTCTCTTTCACCTGCACCTCTTCCTCTCCTTCTTTCCTCCTCTTCTCTTTCTGTCTCCCATGTCCTCTCCTCTGCCTCCTGTCCCTGTCCAGGACAGCTCTGGGTGGTGGAGGGTTTCAGATTGGTTTCAGTTGACGTGGGTGTGTTCTGTTGCTGCTGGCTCATAGCACTGCAAACATCATCATTATGAAGAATGTGCTGGATGGAAACCTGAGGTAGAAACTCTTCCCTCTCATCTCCCGCAGAGGAGGTGACAGAAAGATGTTGGTAGAGGAGACACATTAGAACAGGTCTGTCCGTGACGTGGAGGATGCTGAAAGTGACGGAGTTGAAGGGAAGAAAGGGAGGCAGTGACGACAGTGAATAAGTGAAAGAGTGAGGGATGGATGTGGAGACGCGGGGTTAGAGGGCGGGGTATCAACACACGGAGGTGTTAGAGTAGTGGCAGGTTGTTAACAGTGGGTCAAATAATAACAGAGTATTATATATCGTAACCTGTTGTATAAACATAATTAAACAATATAAGGTCTAATAGGGTCTCAAATAAGCAGCTTTTGCTCTCCCTCTCCCCAAGTTGTCTTGCCTCCCCTCCCCCTCTCCCTTCTTGTTGCTCTCCTCCGCCTCCCTCCTTTCCTCTTCTTTTTGGTCGACCTTCTCCTCATCTCCCAATTCTTCACTGTTCATTTTCCTTACATCATCCGTACTGAAGCTCTTTATCTAACCCTCCTCTCCTTTCCCTTTTCTCCCCCTGGTCTTACACCATCTCCACTTCACTCCTCTCATCATGCTTCTGTTCTTTTGACTTGAGTATTTCCACGTTATGCTACTTTGTACTTCTACTTTACTACAATTCAGAGATACATCGTGTACTTTTACTCCACTTTTCTGTCACCCCTTCTTCTCCTCTTCCACCTTGTCTTGTCCTGTCTTCATCTCCTCCCATCTTACTCCTTATCTTCCTATTTCTGTTTCACCTTCTCCTTGTCCTGCTCCTCTTCTCTCTCCTCCTCTCCTTCTTGAGAATAATAGCCATTTGTTTGGAATTGTACTCTGATCACAAGAAAGTGAAAGAGATTAGAGACTCATCTGTATTGGCAGTAGAGTCAACATGCTCACATAAAGGTGATGTTCAGAGCCGAGCTGTCATCAGACATTGAAACCGAAGAGTAGCCTGCAGTCTGACGTCGTTCCTCCAGTAAATATTGTAATTTCTGCTGTGGACCTCTGGGCTGCTGCTCTGTTTTCAGTATTTTCAGATGTTGACAGGCATTAGGAGGCTCAAAGCTGCATTATTCAAGACTGTGTATAAAAACACAGCCTTAATTATAAAGTATGGCTTCTACAGAGAAACTGAGACGGCGGAGATTCACCTTATTTGAAATTCTAGTGTTGAATGTGATTGCCAGCAGGAAGTGGCCCTGTATAGAGTGGCGAAGTCCCTCCCCTTCCGGTGGACCTCCATGGGACCTTATTTCGGAAAAATTATGTATTGAAGTCAATGGAGAGAGAAAGATTATCTTTCGATCCCGTTTGAATTGTGCCACGAATTACACATATGTTGTTTGTCAATTTAAAAAAAATAATGTGTCGTAAAACTGTGAAGTAACACATTTGTTTGTGTGAAACGCTCAATGAACTACATCTCTGGTGAACAACACACGTCACCAAGATGGTCGTCACTACTGTCTTGTCAACACAACGATTGACTATCCTCACTATCACCACAATGAAACACGTCCTGAAGAATGTCATGCAAAGCTGCCTGCCTGCCTTCCTTTGATTCTCTCTGAACTGCCTGGTCGTTTTAATGTTTAATGTCAACCATTTGTGCAGATAGCATGAAGTAGAGAAGATCGCCGATGCTAACGTTAGCGTTAGCATTTCTCCCCCGGGCTTAAATGGTGTATTATAGACAGGGGTGCACATAACTTTTTTAGTGAGTTACTCAGATGAGTACCAGGAGACAGCGTTTGGTACTCACCCCACATGAAGCGTGGTTTTAATAAGTGCAGTCTTCCTCACTGTCCTCCTCAGTGTCTCCTTCACTGTCCTCTATTTACACTTATTGCATGCTAGATGATGAAGATGCACCTCCCTGTCTCTTTTTAAGCCTCCGATTTGCTTTCTCCAAAACTTGTTGCCAAAACTGTGAAGTCCTTGCATTTCCTGAGGCCAAGTTGAAGGATCAAATACTAAGAAATTATCACATGACTTGTAGTCATATCTGATTTCAGAGGAGGGAAGTAACAAAGTACATTTATTCAAGTACTGTACTTAGGTACAATTTATGCTACTTTGTACTTCTACTCCACTACAGTTCAGAGGTAAATCATGTACTTTTCCTCCACTACATGTAGTTAATACATTTTAGTTACTTCACAGATCTGGATGAATGATGTGAAATATAATCAAGTCTTAAATCAGACTTTAGTTCCACCTGGAGTAAATTCACAAGCTACCCTGCAGTATACAAAGTCATTCAAACTCATTTTTAAACACTTTAATGATCAATAATTATAAAACATATCATATACATTATTATGAAATGGACCAATCTGCAAAATGACTACTTTTACTGTCGCTACTTTAACTAGGTGTTGATGATAATACTTTTCTAATTTTACTTGAGTAACACTTCATCCACCTAACCCTGTCTGATTTCAAACTCTTCCATTAACAGCCTGAGTAAGTTTGCAGGCAGCTGTGTGTTTTAACTGCAGCAGCTTGACCACAGAGCGTGAACGTTGTGATCAGCTGATTTTGCGCAGTTCTCCAGTGTGTGCGCGGGGCACAGAATGTGCACAGGGGAGTCTCCCACTGCAGCCAGTTGATGTAGTTTTGGTACAATTCTGTTGTAGGCCTACACACTGACGTTAACAGCAGCCCCGTCTGTGCACACGGCGACCAACTCTGTCGTCCAGTGATCTAAGCCTCTTTCTCCTGTGAAGCTTCACAGGTCCGTCGGTTATGTCCTGCGCGGCACGGCCAGCACCCAGTTCAATCAGTCATAGAAAGTCCGAAGATTTTTGCAGGGAGCGAAACGGCAAAGTGGCTGCTTAATGTCTTTGTTTTTTTTGGACATGTCTAATAATTTACTCCACTGAGTGTTGACAAGAAACACGTATAGACGAAATATGTGTTTTTTGTTTTGATGACCTATCAGGTACGCAAAGGCGCGTTGTGACACAAGTGACGTTACGCATTTCAGATTGTTGCCGCGCATGCGTACCTGCGTACCAGTTATGTGCACCCCTGATTATAGAATGATCACACCGGTGACAGTACTATTCAAAGGGTTCACGAAATATGACTACTACTCTTACTGTTTAACATTTTGGGTTACTTAATGTTACTTCATGTTAAGGCTAATAAAAATTACAAGGCTGTAATGCTAACTAACGTGCTAGCTACTAGCTAGGTAGCTAACTTGATGAAGCCACTCCTGGTCCTTTCATCAGACGGGAAGCAAAAGAACGAGCAAGACCCATTGCTGGTATAATAACAACCTGGTACTAAGCACACAGGCATCTTGTTAAAGTTATCTTATCTTAGCCAGCGCCATATAGATAGATGATATCTATATTGCGCTGATCTTAGGTATCTGAATGGTGGAGGAAAACAATTGTGACATCACTTACGCGACTCTGGGATTTGTAGTCTTTCTAGTTACGTATTTTTTATAGTCTTATATTTCAACAGTTTTACGACAAACTGTGACTTTTTTTACATGGAAATTATTTTTTAAGATTGACAAACATCATATGTGTAATTCATGGCACAATTCAAACGGGATCGAAAGATAAGTTTTCTCTCCCCATTGACTTCAATGCATAATTTTTCCGAAATAAGGTCCCATTACCCGGAAGTAAGTGGGCGTGACTTCGCCACTCTATAGAGAGTGACACATCTACATTTAAACTGGAAGGCAAAACTGTCTCTTTAGTGGGAGCAAGAGAAAGTCGATTTTCTACCCTGAGACTAAGATATCTTGGTCATGTCTGACTCTCATCCCTTTGCATTTGTAATAAAGTAATCACATTCAGATTATTGGACAGCATATCCGTTCCTTTGTAATATCTGAATATTAAAGTCCACAAATTAAATCAGATGACTGTCACTACTTATCAAAATCCCATAGTCTCATATGCTGCTAATAGACAAGATAGATCAAGAAAATGTTTTAATATATGAGCTACAGAATTACTTTTTTAATAAAGGACTGTCAGGTGATATTTCTATATTTCTATGGATCAGTCTGAGATTGAAGTAAATGTGCAGTTTGATGATGTTTTAAAGCGATTCTGTGATGAAAGGTTTGATCTTCCAGACATTAGAGGAGATCAAATGGAGTTCACATTCGCCTGGTTATACCCCATTATTTTACTGTGAACAGTTATTGGTGTGAAGGCAGTGTTTCACAAGAAATGCAATGAGCCGTATCATGGCTGAGAAGCCTGAAGGAAGTCACTACAATGATGCATGATTTATTTCCATTTCTGAAATTGCCTTCTCAATACATCTTTTCAAATGTACTCTTCACTAAACAATGATCAAAGAAGCTCTTCCTAGACTATGTCTGAAAAACCAACAGATTCAAAACGGAGGAGATGTGAAGTTTATCACGTCAGATACATTTAGTTGTATTTGCTTTTATTCAAACTCTTATGTTTGTGTGTTGTGTCTGTATTTCTCTTAATGTCTATTCATGTCCTCTCATCTCACAGGGCAGAGAAGAAGGAGAGGTCGAGGTTAAAGACGGTCAGAGTGGCGAGGTCTCAGGACAGATCGGTGAGTGGACGCCTGATTTATAAACTTTTTAAATGATGTTTGGTGATAACAAAGGTCACCAAAGGCACATTTAAGAGTTTAGCTTATTGGTGTTTGTGCACTAACGAGGTTAATTTCTCAAAAGAGAAACCCATATTAGTAGAACAGATAATACAGTCTCTTTTCATCTATAACAGTAAGACTGAAAGTTGTTGCTTAAAAGGAGTTCAACCCTTTTTGAGGAGTGTGCTCCTATTTCCTTGAATACCACGTGAAACTCTTTCCAATGAGCTTCCAGTCTAAATGTAGACTGTAATGATGATGTGTTGAGATGCTGTTAAAGTTTAAACCAAGTGAAGAAGTAGCTTTGGCATCGGGTTATTTGCAGAGGAAAGTATTTTTCCACCTGTCTATTAAAGTAAATATAACAATGCTATAAAAAAAATAAAAGTAGAGAAGAACACTGCCTCACAGAGACGTTCAACCATTCTTCATCCGAGCTGTCTGAGCGTTGAGCAAAACACATAAATAAATGTAATTAAATTACGTTAATTTCTCACATACACAATCTTTTATGACTTGCTCCAGGAATCAACAAACAAATAGAAAAAGCTGAATAGAATAAAACAAATGGTAATAAGTGTGAAGTATTAATGAATCATAAGTGTATTTCACAACCAACAGATTAATGTAGCAAAGTATAAAGTAAAAGGTAACGTTTCTTAAGTAAAGAACATAAAACGTTATATTTACAGTGTCATTCCAAAAGCAGCTTCATTTATTCGGGTCACAATAAACCGACAGTTCATATTTCAGATTCTGCTATGATTCCATAAATACTTGTATTAGCACTCAATATTATGGGATTTTATAAAACAAATTGGTTAGTTAGAGAATGAGCTGTCTAAAAGTCTCTTGTGCCCGTGACTGCCGTACCACCTGTTTATATGAGAAGTGTAGCCCTGTTAACCAGCAATTAGAGACTAATTCAAGTTATTTTGAAATTCAGGCTTTGAAAGTTTCCAGGCTGAGTTTAATAAAGCGAGGCGATGACGAGACTTGAATCACACTTCACACGGCGTGAGGATGGGAGCTGACACACCAGTCTAACACAAGCTATTGATATCAGTGTGTTGTTAGCTCGCTCTCTGTTTTCTTCACACTGTGAATCAGCAAGTCTGCAATCAGCTACTCTGCACGGTGAAGAGCTGCTAATTAAAAAAAGATCACACACAGATAGACACACACACATGCGTGCTGTATCCCCTGGCTCCGTGCTTTGAGAAAGACTGCAAAGGATTCTTACTAAATGTGTGTGTGAACGTGTGTGTGTGTGTGTGTGTGGAATAAAGAACCCATGAGCTTTCAAAAAGGGCTATCTGCTGATAACAGTCAGATACTGTTATGATCATCTTCACTATCATGAATAATAACTCTCTCTCTCTCTGTCTCTCTGCAGGATCAGGATGATAAAGGTATGTATTCTCCCCCTCAGTGACACCTGCTGGTCAGTATATGTCACTTCAGATTCTTCACAAACCACACTGACACTACTGTAGCTTTATCTCATCCTCAATCCCTAGAGCTGACTGTAATATATTGTTTGTCCATAAGGCTACTGTCCAGTATGGGTGGGTTTAATAACTGAAATTCATAATTTTGCAATTTTTATTGACATACACATTGTATAGATCTAGTCCAGCCAGTAATAATGATTTAATGGTTTTTGCTAGAAAATATAGGGAAAATTGTTTAATAGTGAACAAAAGCAATTGATCAGTACAAAAACCACACTTCAAAAATAGTACATTTAAATTGTACTTTAGCAAATATATGTAAGTTTGGTCAGCAATATATCCTTAAAGCATTACTTTTACTCAAGGTAAACAAATTATCTTTTTGACAATGCTTCGTACTTTGTAAGGTCATATAGCTTTATTAAATGTTCCTTTGTGAAGTAGCTAGTTACTTCCAAAAATACAATATTTTTCTATGAAGTCTAGTGCAGTAGAGGAATTTTGCATAACATTAAAATACTCTAATAAAGTACAAATACCCCAGAATTGTACTTTAGTCAAGTCCGAACTAATCTACTTTCCACCAAATGTTTGTGATAATAACACTTTCAACAAAAAGCCATAACTTTATGGAAGTGCAGCACTAAATGACTGGAGTACCCATTACAAATCGCAAAAGTTGAATATTTCAACCCAAATGTTGGATATAGAGTAATCCTGTTGACTTTGCCATACCTTTATGAATGTTACAAAGTAGAACAAGAAAGGAAGTGGTTAACTGTTGTATCTGTTATGTTCAGGTGTAAACATACGTATAGGTTAATATCCTCTGGCCTCCTGCTCCCCTGAACACCATGAGTGAACAGACACTGAAGGATGAATATGGTGTGGCTGATGTTTTCTGTTATAAGAGAAAGGTTGTCATTGGTTGTTTGACATTTAAACAATGCAAGTCTGTGTGCGTTTGTCTGTATCTTTATGTTTGTATGTGTTTGTGTTGCTGACTCTGACTGTCTTGTCCTTCCAGAGCTGGTAACCTCTTGCACCAGCGATAGTGAGAGTAGTTCCTGTAAGTCTAGACCCTCCTCCACGGCTTTCTTTCTCTCTTTCTCTAAGTCTCTCTTCTCTTCTTCTTTGCTTTTTCTTGTTCAGTTTTTATTTGTGTGTGTTGTATTTCTCTGTGTGTGCTTCTGGTGTATACACGCACATGTGTATTTGTGTGCTGTGATTTGTTTGTTCTTATGTGCATAGTGTTTGTGTTTTTGTGAGCACAAGTTACCTCTGCTTCTCCAGTCTCCTTTGCCAGAGCTGTTGAAGAAGTTGAATCCAGAAGTAGAAAAGGGTCGGGGGTGTTTTCATGTTGATGATCCCTCCCACTTTGCCTCTTAACGTGTCCATCATTTCTTCCCAATCAGCCGGCCAGGAGGAGACCCTCCTCACATACCAGCCTGTCATGCAACTGGAAGGTCAGTGCTCAATTTCACATCACAGTAACTAATTTGTTTATTATTATTTGACTGTCTTGTGAAGTTTGGTTCCTAAAGGCATTCATTAGTTAAATTGTTTGTTTATCTTCACATGCTATTTTTTTAACAAACTTTCTTAGTGTCATTGTGTGCGTGTATCAACCTGGTTCTGTTTGTCTTATCCCAGTTACTTACACCCGACCAGTCATAGTGCTTGGACCAATGAAAGACCGGATCAACGATGACCTCATCTCCGAGTTCCCTGACAAGTTTGGCTCCTGCGTCCCACGTGAGTGTTCTAACTTTATGATGAATCCCAGCGATGAACTCTTTAATAAAACTGTAATTTAGCACTCAAGCAAAGATTTTATTTGTCTAACTTTTAAAAAAGCATGTTTATAATGCTGTAATATATGATGACATGTGACTTATAGGAATGCAGAAAGTGAGGTGAGTTCAGGTAAATGTGGTCATAAAGATAAAAGACACCATAAAACCATAGAGCAAATAGGGTGAACTGACAGGAAGTGAAGGGAAATGTACTTTCTGGTATACAGTATGCAGGACTGACAACAAAAGTCAGGACTATAGACTGGATTAAAAGAATGTACATAGTCACCGTTATGTCACCCATTGGTTTGTTGACTAGGGTTTTGAAGCCGACATTTTTTTTGTAACCAAAGTAACAACAAGAGCGAACAACAGAACCTAAATCTTCACCTATAGGCAAACTGAAATCAACATTATATTTGGTCTTAAATAATAGAGTTTTAATGTGTTTCAAATCTATGATTTACAGACACAACGCGGCCGCGGCGAGACTACGAGGTGGACGGCAGAGACTACCACTTCATGGCCTCCAGAGAGGTCATGGAGCAGGAGATCCAGGAACACAAGTTCATCGAGGCGGGACAGTACAACAACCACCTGTATGGGACCAGCATACAGTCGGTCAAAGAGGTCGCTGATAAGGTGAGTTAAAGAGAGAGTGTGATGATAAAAACAACACAGAAGAAACAGAGGAGTAACACATGATGTTATATCTTCCTGTATGTCACCTTGCAGGGTAAACACTGCATACTGGATGTATCAGGGAATGCGATAAAGCGTCTCCAGTTGGCAGGCCTTCATCCCATCGCTGTCTTCATCAGACCACGCAATGTCGACAACATCCTGTAAGAAACATCACATTTAGATTATTAATGACAGTCATGCAATCATACAGGACATTTGTTTTTGTTTATGCAATATGTGTCTCCAGCTACCTTTTAAATATACTGTAACTTAAAGGTCCCCTATTATACTGTTTTTCATCAATTTATTATAGGTCTCAGATATATACAGAACATGTCTCTGATTGGCTGAAATACCAAACAGATCATTGCAGCATCCCATAATCCCCTCAGTTTCAGCCCTGTTTCAAAAGTGCTGATTCTTGGTCTGTTACTTTAGATGAAAATAAGGAGCCACGCCCCTCTGAGAGATATTTGGTTAAAAAGAACACAATGGTGCTCTAGGAGGAGATTCAGATGATAAGGTGTGGGTGGGGGGAGGGGGGGGGGGTTACCTTGGTTGGTTATTGGCTAATAGAGTGGTGAAGTCCCTCCCCTTCCGGTGGACCTCCATGGGACCTTATTTCGGAAAAATAATGTATTGAAGTCAATGGAGAGAGAAAGATTATCTTTCGATCCCGTTTGAATTGTGCCACGAATTACACATATGATGTTTGTCAATTTAAAAGATAATTTTGCAAGTCAAAAAAAATAAAATTTGTCGTAAAACTGTGAAGTAACACATTTGTTTGTGTGAAACGCTCAATGAACTACATCTCTGGTCTCACAGAACAACACACGTCACCAAGATGGCCGTCACTACTGTCAACACAACGATTGACTACCCTCACTATCACCACACAACACAGTCTCACGGCATTTCGTGTTATAGTCACGAAATGAATCTATTGATTCGTGTTCACTAACACGATTTCGCAATTTTTTTCGTGTCACACAGAACGATTTTAAAAGCAATGTAAATAATAACAAATTAGAAGGAAAAAGACATTTAAAAAAATACAGATTTAAGTATTCTGACACAGAACGATTTTAGAAGCAATGTATTTATATTGGTAGTATGTTTCGTGCCTGCACCAAATAATAACAAATTAGAAGGAAAAAAAGATGACATAAAATACAGATTTCAGTATTCTGAGGCTCTGAGCCCCATTTCTTTTCCTCACTGACGGCAAAAAAACTCAGACATTATACAATTTAAAATAAAAGGGATAGGGTTAGGCTTAGGGTAAGATATTGAGTAAGAACATGTTTTTATGAACCACACAGCTTCTGGTCTTCCAAGACCCGACCGGACAAAAAGACGTGTTGCAGGCACGAAACATACTACCAATAGAAATACATTGCATTTAAAATCGTTCTGTGTGACACGAAAAAAATGTGAAAATCGTGTTGGTGAACACGAATCAATAGATTAAATTAATTTCGTGACTAATAACACGAAATGCCGTGAGACTGGGTTGCACCACAATGAAACACGTCCTGAAGAAAGTCATGCAAAGCTGCCTGCCTGCCTTCCTTTGATTCTCTCTGAACTGCCTGGTCGTTTTAATGTTTAATGTCAACCATTTGTGCAGATAGCATGAAGTAGAGAAGATCGCTAGCGTTAGCGTTAGCATTTCTCCCCCGGGCTTAAATTGTGTATTATAGAATGATCACACCGGTGACAGTACTATTCAAAGGGTTCACGAAATATGACTACTACTCTTACTGTTTAACATGTTGGGTTACTTCATGTTACTTCATGTTAAGGCTAATAAAAATGACACGGCTGTAATGCTAACTAACGTGCTAGCTACTAGCTAGCTTGATCCAGACACTCCTGGTCCTTTCATCAGACGGGAAGCGAAAGAATGAGCAAGACCCATTGCTGGTATGATAACAACCTGGTACTAAGCACACAGGCATCTTGTTAAAGTTATCTTATCTTAGCCAGCGCCATATAGATAGATTATATCTATATTGCGCTGATCTTAGGTATCTGAATGGTGGAGGAAAACAATTGTGACATCACTTACGCGACTCTGGGATTTGTAGTCTTTCTAGTTACGTATTTTTCATAGTCTTATATTTCAACAGTTTTACGACAAACTGTGACTTTTTTGACATGGAAATTATTTTTTAAGATTGACAAACATCATATGTGTAATTCATGGCACAATTCAAACGGGATCGAAAGATACGTTTTCTCTCCCCATTGACTTCAATGCATAATTTTTCCGAAATAAGGTCCCATTACCCGGAAGTAAGTGGGCGTGACTTCGCCACTCTATGGTTACACAACCCAAAAAACCATGACGACATCATAAAGTGGCCAAAATCTGATCAGCTCATTTTCAGACAGGTTTTTATATAAATGGATCAGGACAGAAAGAGAGGGGGTCTTTGTTCCTGAAACGTTCAGAATCTCTTTCCACAGAGGGGACACATGTTGATGTATAACAGACATGAAAAAGTAGAGTTTGCATAATAGGTGACCTTTAACTCCTGTTTGATCAGGATCACTACAGTGAGATGGTACAGTACCAGCCTATCATTTGACAGCAGTTGAATGAAATAATTAAACAATGTTTTATATTCTGTTCTTTAATATGGACACCTCATGTCTGTCTTTCCAGAGAGATGAACAAACGCTTCAATGAGGAGCAGGCGAGGAAGACCTTCGAAAGAGCCGTCAAACTGGAGCTGGAGTTCACAGAGTTCTTCACCGGTTAGTAGAAGAGTATTGATCTTCTCATCTCACTGTGGGCAGGAAAGAGAATAATTGTATTTCCCGAAATGTTGAAGCCTTTCTTTAGCGAAATCTGTGACATTATTGAGTAAACTGAGACACATTGCAGTCTAAATATAACAGTTTTGTGCACAGGAGATTCAGAAAGAGGTCTCGAGGTGAACGGTCGCTTTATGTAAATAACACACATAGGCCTACACACAATGAAATACACAGATGTGGACCTTTAAAGGTTACTCCTTATTTAATAAAAGCTTTTTATATATATTTCCTTTAAGCACACACAGTGGGTTACCATGGTAATATGTTTATGTAAAGGATCTTCTTGGATATTAATTTCTGTCTACCTGCCTGCAGGTATCGTCCATGGCTCGACTCTAGAGGAGGTGTATTCGCAGGTGAAGCAGATCATTGAGGAGCAGTCTGGTCCTTACATCTGGGTGCCCACCAAGGAGCGACTCTGAACAAACACACATCATCACACACATCACTATTTCCACACTTCCTACATCTCTCATTTTCTATTATCAGCCTGCTTCCTCTCTATCTATCTCTTGTACACACACATTAGTACACACACACACACACACACACACACACATTTACACAAGCACATAAAGTCGGACAGGGCTGGGACTATCTGGGACTGCTACTTCCTGAAGTGGGAGGGGCTAATGTCTGTCCAGCAGCCTATCGGTGGATCTTCCTACGGCTCAGTTCCTTAATGTTTAAGGAGGTGGTTTAAATCATGGCGACATGTACCATTATCTGATTTGATTTCATTATTGTTCTTCTTATTGTTGTTGTCGTTGTTGTTTTCATATTAACGAAGGGTAATGCATTCATGTATGGGTTTGTAATGATATTATTGTCACCAAGAGGCAGACTTTTGCACGCTGTAGCTTTAAGAGCATGTTTTTGGGACAAAATCTTGATCTCCTTCCCAACTGTCCGTTTCATGGCATTGCTCCTGTTAAGTCTTTTCTATCTTTCTCTCATATCCCATATCTTCCTCCTCCTCCTCTTCCTCCTCCTCCTCCTCTTCCTTCTTCCCCTGCAGACTACAGACTTTATACATGAGGTGATGATTTTATAATCTGCATCAGCATTTTGGTATCAAAGGCCCAAATGGAACTAAAGTACAATTGGAGACAAGAAAACAATATGTCCTTTAAGAAGCAGCATTTTGCAGTTAAATAATCATTAGAAAAGTAAATTAGATAGCTTTGTAATAAATAACATATTGAGGCTTGTGGTGTGTTTAGAGTTCATTTGGAGCCCTAAACCCACGTTTCTCAAATAAAAAGAAAGATTCCAAAAGGGAAATTAAAATATGCTCAAAACAGAGACTTTTATCCAGTTAATTGTTTTTGAATATGTTAACAATTCACTCAGTGATGTGAACAAAATGTATCATCATTTCTCCAGTGGAAATGTACAGTTCAATAATGTATGGACACATTAATGGTCTGAAATGAAAAAAAGTCTGCTGATGGTACACCAGAGAAAACAGACAACAAGGGTACATTAGTGCCACTTTGCAAGGTGCAGATATAAGAATATATGGCAAGTGATTGCAAACGGAATCAATGGCTGCTTTACTTGTGTTTTTTGCACCCAAATTTACACAAGAAGCAAAGGGAAGAAAAAGTCGTTTAGAATCCTATTTAATGCTCAAACCGAGTGACAAAGAATAGGCTAAAACTACGAGTCATTTATATCAATAGAAATTTGACAAATAGTTTACATTTGTAATGAAGTCATTTCACTTTTCGCAGTTTGATACAGTTCCTGAAAAACTTCACTGAAGTCTTCGTCTCGTAAGGGCTTTTCTGCCTCCCCCCCTCTCTTCCTCCTCTCTGACTCATTGCGTTCATCCCCTCTGCCCCTCCCCCCCTCTCTCTTTCTTCACATTCACACTGTGACATTAGTCGATCACTCCACCATCAATCAGTGTATCATCTTCTTCATCAACACGATCATCATAATCATCAGCATCAATGTTATAACTCTCCTTCTTACTGTAGTTGCACTAATGAGGGCTGGTTTCTTAAAAGCATCTTAACCCGTCCCAGTGTTTCTGGTGTGACACACTCACTCTCCTTTCAGTTTTCAGTGATTATATTGCTAGTTTGAAAGAGCAAAAAAAGGTCAGGGAACTCTTTATGGTCATTTGCTGTATGTCACGCTACTGTAGTTAAAGTTACTCGTCACCCACTCCTCTCGTAAACGCTACTGTCAAGGACCACCAATGAACTGCATAAGGTCTCTTTGAAACAGGTTTCTGTCATGCTGGATTTGTATGAGCCTTCAGTCCCAGTGTGCATGAATATCACCTGAAAATAACTGCATTTGTGACCTTTGTGCTCCCATAATACAGGTGGACAATCAAAGTGTTGCATTTTTACCTGTTATCCAGAAATAGGTTGTTTTATCAAAGGTGTTTTAATGGTCTCACACATAGTTTGCCCACTATGAAACAATTGTGAGAATGTGTTTTTATTTTTAATCCCTGTCTCCTGCTTTTTGGATCTACAATATGCAACTTTACAGTACTACCAAGTACCCTATCTGTACTAGCTGTGTCATTCATGTGACCCCTGCCTTGGACATCCTCATGCATCGTTATTCACATCTTGTAAAACATCTTGTGACACAACCCTCTGTTGGGTAACAGGTAAAAATGAATGGTTTGACTTTTCACGTAAAGCGACTATATCAATATTTTTCTAATAAGAATGTATCAAATGACACAATGTGAAAACGTATGACAAGGTTAACAGAAAAATCACCTGAATCTGCATCTCTCCACAGCTTAACGTGAGTTTCAGTTTCAAGTGTTAGCCAACTGGCCCACCACTTAGCCGATTCTCACTGCTCTCATAGTATTGTTTTATTCTGCAGCACACAGCTGTTCAACTTCTTAATGAATTATTTCTTAAAACAAGTTCACTGTCCACTACCTGCTCAGAATCCAACAACAGACTTACTCAGTTAGCATCGAGCTGCTAAACATAATGGAGCATGTAGCACCAAAGGAGCCAGATATTTAACCCAGGAGACGGTGGAGACCAAAATCAGAGCTAAAAGAGAGTGATGTCACATAGGGGCTCACCCGACATGACGACAAAATCTGTTATCAATTGAACATTTGGAATACCGAGATGCTTTAGGTAACACGGCCCCTGTATGGACCTTGTCAGCCGCCCACTACTCATCTCCACCCTCAACCCCCACAAGGCGATTCCTCCAAGCTGACTGGAGACCAGAGACGTGCAGAAAGACCGTTCTGTCATCAGAATAGCTTTAAGACCCAAATAATAAATTGTTTTGACCACATGTGTTTTGAGAGCTTTAATATTTCCTCACAGAATGTCCGGCTAAATATTATTTTTTTCATCGGTAATCCTCCATGACTTGGCCGTGGTGTTGTCAGTTGACAGAACTGGACTCTCTGTGTGACTCTGCTGTGTTTCAGCCGGGGGACCATGCCACTGTCTGTTAGAGTAAAGCACCGATGCAAAGTATCTATTACAGAGATGGAACTACTGTATATCTTACATATTATAATATTTATCCCTGCTCTAACTGCCTATTTTGGTACAAAAAAATAAAAGTCTTTATTGAGATTTACTGAAATCATTTGACCGAAGACGGGAGATTATTTTTCTTTCTGTGTTTTGGACTGTATGAATGTGAATAGAATAATAACTGTGAATATTTTGCATCCACTTCCACCTCTACTGCAGGTTTGTAATAGTTTTTCAAAGTTTCCAGATCTTGGCTTGAAAGGTGCAAAGAATCTGGTTCTTTCCTGATTTTAAAAATGCTGCTTTCTTTTTTTTAGTTTGAAGTTATTAGCAACTAAATAGTAGTTGAGAACATCTCCGTTGTGTGAATGAGGTATAAGTACTTTAGAGGGTGTGCAGGCTGAAGAGTTTGCAGTTGCTGACTGTGAGGCTTGATTGAAATGCACATAGCAGTGTTTGTATACTCACAATGACAATGCTAATATGTTAGAGTGTATCAGGTTAGATGTTGACCATAATGACTGTCATGTGTAGCATGCTAACATTTGCTAATTAGCACTGAACAAGATGTACAGCTGAGGCTGATGAGAATGTCATGAGTATTTGGTCATACATGTGGTTGACCTGGTGAAGGAGCTAGAGTAAAGTGGGAGTGTCACCAAGCAATGGATTAATTAATCGCTATGGGAACGTGAATGTCTCTCCCGAATTTCATTGCAGTCCATCAAATAGTTTGATATTTACATTCAGAGCAAAGTGGTGAACCAACCAAGCAACATCAATATTCTCTAGCAAACCTTGAATAAATGGATTAGGGAAATGATTGAGAAATTACATTATTAAGTGCAGACGTTGCCTATAATAAGCAAGTAATAGATTGGAGGGAAAGCAATACAAATAAATAAAGAGCAAGATTATGTAAGGAACCCATTTTAGGAGGAATATTCGAGTTGCCAGATTTAACTATGTTTTAATAGTTTAAAGGTCAAAATTCCCGTTTATTCTATATATGATGCTCTGAGGTCAATTCCTGATTACATTGATCCATAGTCATCTCTACAGATCCAACTTTCAGCTCCTGTCTCACCTCATTAAAATGTGCCAGGGCGAAAGTTCACAGTAACATTCTCCTGGAGTAGATCCAGATACCGGGTCACAAAGCCATAATGTGGTTATCATAGGGTACAGTTCCTGCAGTAAACTGAAGGGGCAATGAGGTATAAATCATAGATAACTCAAAGTTGGCACCAAATCAACCTCGGGATGTGAAGAGAACAAAACAAGTGTTGCACAAATAATTGTAAAAATTGTATAAACTTTATAGGTACAGTTTTATTGTGAAACCGTGGACAGCAAGAACTGCCGTTTCAAATTTTGGTGCAAAGAAAATGTATTATTTGTATGTAAACTGCACAGCTTGAATCAGCTCATACGTTTGTTTTTTTAAAGATTGTATTTTGGCAGCAGCTTGTCAGGGCAGCTGATGTTAGGTGCTGAAAGCTGTGAGGGTAAAATATCTTCGTCCTGACACGTGACTTGTCAACTCCATGTCACTCTTGCTTTGTCACGTTGTGTCTTGTGAGTGTTGGAGCAGCATGACCAGACTACTCAAATAGCTAGTGAGAGTTTTCAATGTCAAATTCACTGCCTTACAATAAGGCAAGGCAAGTTTATTTATACAGCACCTTTCAACACAAGGCACATTAAGAGCATTACAATATAGTTCAGCAGAAACATACTATAAAATGGCCTTTACAAACTTTCATTAAAAAGCAAAGACAATCAAGTAAACATAAAACAAGACAACATATGAGAATTATTAAGAGCATTTAGAAATAATTTGCTCCCACACATTCATGCGGCTTGCCATTCTTGGACCCTGTCTGTAATACTTTTTATTAATAACAATTGGAGCAGTCTTTTGCTCTTCAACTTATGTTTGAAATGCATTATACCTTAATTTATTTCGTAGGTTTAAGAACAAGAAATATATTGCTGACTTCATTCCTTGCAGATCATTTCTAAATGTTTTCTCTCAGCCATGTGCTGTTGGCCCAGAGTATGAACATGGAGGAACATTCAGAGCAATTACAGATTTTTATGATTAGAAAGCTTTTCTGTTTTTGACCAGATGTCTGCAGAAATCTTTTTTTATTGTAATCATGTGTCCTCATATCCTGCAGCTTCCATTTGGCAGATGCTTCATAGATAACAGTAAGAGGCAGACCCAGTTAGAGCCGAGTATGATAACATTATCTAATCAAACGAAATAAAAGTCAGCTGTCCAATGCCCCGATATCTGTTCTGTTTCTAATAACACTCACTCTTTTTCTTTTAACCGTGACTCATACAACATAATTTAATATGAAGCACCTACTAATATACCACCCACCCAAAAACCAGAGAATCAGCAGTACCTCACTTTACTTGACTTATTTTTGCCTTATTTTAACCAGGATAAAAACAAATGTATTTGTATTACAACATATCAATAAGGCTTAGTTTAAAGTATCTGCTATCTGACCTCATATTCTGTATAGGAGAAACTTTTAAAGGTCAGACAAGGTAAACAGGCTCCTTGTGCTGTTCCTCTCAGAGTAGAGAGTCAGTGACTCACTGTGTTGGCCTGAATCACTTCTTTCCTTTTCCCCATCAGTGGAAAAGCACCACACAGAAAAGCAGAGGAGGGTCCGCTGGCTTTAAAAGACCTCTCTGTGCGGACTCTGGCCTGCAGCCAGGCAGCAGACACGTGTCAGGCCAGGTAAACCAGGGAGGCGTTTCATAAACTCTACACTGAACTTCAAACACTCGAGAGTTGTTAGACTCCTGAATTACATGTTGTAGAAGTTGTAAATCATTAAATATACAGCCTCTTTTGAGCTTTGTGCGAGGACTTTAAGCTGAGTCTTGGAGATTTAAGCTGGACTTTGACTCAAGAGTCATCATATATAGTAGAGGAGAGGGGAAAGGGGGTTATTTTACCTAAGAGGGAGAGGAAGAGAGAACGACGACATGGCCATGTGGAGGACAGCGGCAGCTCTTCTGCTAATTCTACAAACTGGTAAGAAATGATTTGTTTCTGTGAGAGGTTGACAAAGGTATTCAACAGCACTGATTGGGTTGCCCTAGAGGTGGAGATACAAATATAACTATACAGAATTTTTCTATATAATAGTATTTTTGTTTTAATGAAAGATTATCAAGATTATCATCTATATTACATGTTAAACATATTTTCCAGTTGACCTCAACTTATTGTTAATGTACATGGCCATAAGGTGACAAAAAGTGTATACTTTGGATAATTTTAGAGGTCTGAAATTTGAATTTGAAATGAATAGAAACATTAGAAAAAAAATATTTTAAACATATTTTTTTTGTATTCCTCCAATTTGTATTGTAACCGTTTGAAATCAAGTACATTGAAAACGGTAGAATATGTTCACAGCAGTAGGATAGTTATAGAGATGACAGGATGTTTTCATGACTCATTTAGTGGGAAAGTTTAATGATGTCTGTGTTTCTCTCTCAGTGTTTGGCCAGAGCAGCATCAGATGGTGCACCATCTCAGATGCAGAGCAAAGAAAATGTTCGGCCATGTCGGAGGCCTTCGCCAAAGCCTCGATCCGTCCATCCCTGAGATGTGTCTACGGAGTGACCATCGAAGGCTGCGTTCAGAAACTACAGGTCGGAATAATAGGGCTAGAGGAATTTAAGCAATTTTGAAAAATGGTAGTTGTTCCTTAATTTTTTATTTTATTTAGCCTTCATTTATACAGGTGTAAAATCTCATTGAGACACAAGGTCTCATTTCCAAGAGAGACCTGTCAGTGGTAACACTACCACACAAAGTTACAGACAGACAGGACACTAAACACAGAGGCAACACTAAAATACAACATCGTAAAAAAAGTAGTCATTGAAATCCATATACAGTAGTCAGATATAGCAGGTGCAAACACCCACAGATGATTTCTCCAGCTTTTTTTAAAATTAGTTTAAAATCCGTGATGGGTATCAAACTGGTCAGCTTAAGTTCCTGCTGAAGTGTGTTCCAGGTCGAGGGGGCAGAGTATGATATGGCTTTTTTCCCAAGCACCGTGCGTACTGAGGGGACGGACAGAGTGATGTAATTTTGAGATCGTAGGCTATAGCTGTAGGCTACTGTTTGTGTGATATGTAAGTGGATATGTAGAGGGGCAGCAGTCCAAGCATAGCGGTATAGATGAGTTTGTACCAGTGCAGTGATCTGCGCATTGATAATGATGTCCAGTTGACTAAAGAGTACAGCGTGCAATGGTGTGTGAGGGGTTTACAGTTGGTTATGAACCTCAGAGCCCCATGGTAGACAGCTTTCAGCAGATGAAGGGAGTGAGCTGAGGCGTTCATGTACACAACATCCCCGTAGTCCAAGAGCGGCAAAAATGTGGCAGCTACAAGCCGTTGCCTCGCACTTGTGGAGAAGCAGGCCTTATTTCTTAATAGGCAAATCATAAAATAATTTGCAGTGTAAAATACCTTATTATTTAGTAACCTATTAATCTGTATCAGTCAGGACACCAGAAGACTTGTTAAAAGATTATTAAATATTTTGAGTGGTAGAACACACTATCAGGCATAAGATAACAAGGCTGGAACTACTTTTACAGTTGCAATACACTTTTTTATATCTGATATCAGGCAGCACACTGGGTCCTTTAGGGCAACCACAGGAAATACATGATATGCTGAAAATGCATTTTAGCATTCATCTTGAAAGTGTAATCTTAAAGTGTAGATTTAGCTAGACTTTCCTATTCTTATTGTAAAAAAATCCAGTGTCTCTGTTCCAAAACATTTAGATGTTTTAAACCATACCATAAATAGTTATTGTTTCTTTGTACAATGTTCTACAAGTGTATCAGCTGTCCCTGTCAATCTATAATATTGGGGAAATGTCCTGATATTTATAACACTATTCATCTTTTTGCTTTCTCTGTTACTGCAGAAAAAAGAAGCAGATGCCGTGTCCATGTTCAGCCCTGACATCTACAAATTGGGGAAAACCAACTCCTTTAAGATTGCTGCCGGTGAATCAAAAATGGATGGTTAGAATGTTTCTTTCATCTGAAA